AGATTCACTTAACAACTGTGTTATCAACTGCAGTGATTCCCTTAACAACTATGGCAAGAGAAGTCGTAAAATGGGGCAAACTTCACTTAACAAATATCTCACTTAACAGAAATTCTGGGCTCAATTGTGGTCGTACGTCAAGGGCTACCTTAAGCACTTTAAGTCTTCTCCATCTCCTTTGCTACCACACTTGCTACCATCCAACACTTTGCCTTCGAATGAAAGATGAAGTTCTGATAGATTTCCAGCGTATGATTTCAAGTTTTAAGAAAACCAAGTCCTTTATAAGAGCTAGAAAACACCAGCTAGAAACATTAATCAAAAGTTCATGCTACTGATTGTGCAAACACGGTTGCAAAGGCCTTCCTGCTACCTCTCCCCAAAATCTCTTCCTTTCCTAAGTTTCATATACTGACAGTTTTCCACAGAGTAGTTACTTTCCACTACACCACTTGTAAGTGAGTGGTCTCTCTCTCTCTCCTTCTGTTCCCTCCTAATAAGCATTTATTTTAATTTCACCAGTCACAACTTGGGAGAAATGGAAACTTCTGTCACAACCAATATTGCTTTGTCTTCCTGCCCTGATGCAGAAACACCATTCCCCAAACCAAAAAGGTACCACACAGAATTTGTACCACCATAAGAGCAGCAACTTTAAATTTTGAAGGAATTTCAAAATTTCTAGAACAGGGTTCGGCAATCTTAAACATTCAAAGAGCCATTTGGACCTGTTTCCCATAGAAAAGAAAACACAGGGAGCCATAAAACCCTTCCCATGCCTGACTATTTCCTGAGCAGCCACAAAACTAGCATATGTAGTTGAATTAAACGTTTTTTTTTCTTCTGAAACTTTTCTTTTCTTGGATTTATCCATGGTTGGCCTTTTGGGGTCAAAAAGCTCAATAAATCACATTCTGGCAGGTGTCGCACATTGACAGTTGTGAAGCTTATTTTGAACAACAGGGAGCCACAGCAAGAGGGATGAAAGAGCCACATGCGGCTCCAGAGCTGTAGTTTGCTCACCCCTGCCCTAGAATAGTGATGGTGAACATTTTTTGGCTCGTGTGCCAAAAGTGGGGGGAATGCAGGGGGGGTCATGCCACACATGTGCATGCTTCCCCCCTCTGTGTATATGTGCGCACAACCAGCACTCCTCCCCACTTTTGGCGCTCCTTTTTCAACCTCTCCAGTCTCCAGAGGCTTTCTTGGAGCCTGGGGAGGGGAAAAACAGCCCTCCCTGTCCCCCCCCCCCCGAGGCCCTCTGGTGGCTTCAGGAGCTTCCCTGAAGCCTCCAGAGCATGAAAAACCGGCCCTATGGCCAAACCGGAAGTTCGGGAACGGACTTCCAGTTTGCTCGTAGGTCTATTTTTCGCCCTCCGGAGCCTTCAGGAGGCTTCCCTGAAGGCTCTCGAGGATAAAAAACAGCCCTACGACCAAACCAGAAGTCACTTCCTGTTTGGCCATAGTGCCATTTTTTACCCTCTGGAGCCTTCAGGAGGCTTCCTTGAAGACTCCAGAGGGCGAAAAATGGCCTTACGGCCAAACTGGAAGTAACTTCCTGTTTGCTTGTAGGGCTGTTTTTTGCCCTTCGGAGTCTTCAGGGAAGCCCTCTGAAGGCTTCGGAGGGCGAAAAACATCCCTACGAGCAAACCGGAAGTCCACTCCTGAACATCTGGTTTGCCCGTAGGGCTGGTTTTTTGTGCTCCTGAAGCTTCAGGGAAGCCTCTGGAGGGTGAAAAATGGCCTCAAAAGAAGGCTGAAATCAACTGGCCAGCCACACATCGGCGCTGGAGCTGACAGGGCAACGTCTCGTGTGCCCTGACAAATGGCTGGCATGCCACCTGTGGCACGCGTGCCACATGTTCGCCATCACAGTCCTAGAAGAACATTATTATGTGGCTTTAGAGAAGAAAACATCTCATCTTAATAACCTTGTATTAGCTGTCTCAGAGAGGACAGTTGTAGTTGCAGTAAATAAATAAATCTGCCCTAAAATATTACTTCAACTCTCTATCCTGGCATCTTTAGGAGAAAGTGTCTCCACATTTAGTTGTGTTTCCTGCACAGGGTCTTAATTCTTCAATCTAGACTCCCCCTTCACAAGGCATTGTTTTCAGTTAGGCATTTGAATGCTTAAGATGTGCCTGTAGGCTTTGAAAGTTGAGTGTATTGTCATCACAATTTGAATTATGAAAAAGCAAAAGATCAAGAACTATTTCTTACAATAGCGAGGGGGGGGGAATACAAATGTAAGCAATACCTCAAGACTAAAAACCACCAAGTAAGAGCAGGCTTTTAAATTTTTCAAGAACAAGTAATAAGATTTAATAGTAAAAAAAAGAACAGATGGATGTCTGTTAACTGGACAATAAAATAGACAATCGTTTTAAAAAGCAATATTGGACAAACAAGAGAAGAAGCAAAATGGTTAGATGTTTAAAAAATGAAGATGGCAGGCATGATGCTGAGATTTGCAGGTGTAGAAGGATCAGTCTCAGCTAGGTGAAAAGTTCTTAGGACTACCTTTCAGACAGTTGAAAGAATTGCCTTCTATTTTGGGGAATATATTACCAGTTATTAGTCATATTTGTCTTTATTCCTCCTAAAATAAATTATCACTCACATTCAGCTGACAAAGCAATAGCTTTTGCACCTTCCACTCCTGTCTCAGCACACCTCCATTTGAACCTAGCAGCTAACTTTTCCCAACTGCTCTTAGGAGGGCCTCCCAAAAACACAAGACAACTCAAACCCAGACAGGTCAACCAGCTGCCCTGAAAACGTGCATTCCCACCAACCTTCCATGTGCAAGCAGCAATATGAGTGCAGCTGACCTGTCAGAGACACAATCTGCCCTCCGGCTGTAGATGGAAATCGGAAGACTGTCTGTTGTGCCTGCTGTAGCTGTCCAGGTACAGCCTGGCCCTGCTGGTTGGAGAGGGCCAGCGAGTGCGGCTGTAACTGAGTGAGAGGAATGGTAGGGGTCCCGGGAGGGAGTGGAGCACCTGCTGGAAGGAGGGAGAAAAAAAGGCTTTTTATCAGGGCCAGATGTTTTTAAAATCTCCTTCCTTCCCTCTTGGATTCTTGTTAATCTCTCTCCTCCCAGGTTATTATCATATGCAGCCTTCTCCAACCTTATGCCTTCAGTTGGGTTGTGATTATGAATGCCAGAATTCCGAGTGGAATTTTGGAAGATGGAATATCCAGTTGAGAGAGGCTGCCATACATCTTTCATGGGAGGAAGAGGAGGGAAGGCGCTGACCAAACTCCATGTCCCAGTTCCAAACCCTACAATTCTCACAATCAGAAATGTCAAAGTGGGACTTTCCATTTCCTCAAAGGAACGAGGAGGCTGGCAGCAGAGACAGCAACACTGCCATTTCCCTAAAACTTCCTGTTCTCCTGGTAGAACCTGCCCCTTGACCAGCTATTATTCTGGCCTCAGCCATACTCCTTTATGAAACAGTTTGGGCATTTCCATTCCAGCCTCTCATGAGTCAAAGAAGGGCAAAGGTCTAGCGTGCTCAGTGTAAATGCAGAAGAATCGGCAGCTATCGCAAAAATGCTTCAACTGGCAAAAAAGAAACTGACCTGACATGAGGGTAAAGCCGGTAGGTATCTGCATGAGTCCTCCAGAGGCCACTGCGCTGGTTCCAGTGGTTTTCAGCACTGTTCCGTTGGCACTGGTGACTGTACTGGGGCTGACACTGGCAGAGACTGGTGCTAAGTAGTTAGTAATGGGGAACGAGGGCCCACTGCTGACCTGCATGGATGTGGATGTTGTGGGTGCTGTCTGGATGGTGGACGTCGTCCCTGGAAGGTTGGTGACAGTGAATGCTGGCTTCAGTGAGTCCTGCAAAAGAAGCGCAAGTAGGAAGAGCCAAGCCAAAACTGAGTACATTGCCCAGAGTAGAATACAGCCTTTCTCCTTCTGACTATCTGGCAGTACAGTAGCCACTTCTAAAAGTAAAAGATAACATTCAGAGGTCAATAAGCTCTCAAAATCACCATACTACTCCACAGCAGGCCCAGTTTATACTAAATCTGAGACTTAATGGCAGCAAGGACCTTCACCAGGGAATTATTTTTTTCTTAACATTTCACTTGGATATGCTTTCTATAATTTAAATCCACAATTCTATATCCTGTCTTCTAGGAATACCATAGATTGTGTCTTTCTATATGACACCCCTTCAGAATTGGCAAGTATTCTCATATCACACACACGGACAAGTCTTTTTTTTTTTTTTTTTTTGGTCTCAAGGCTAAACATACCCATTTTTCCTAATCTCTCATCAAAGAATCATATTTCTGGTCTTTTGAGAATATGTGTTGTCCTTCTCTTAATCCCTTTCAAGTCTGAATCCTTCTTAAATGTTGGTATCCAGAACCTGATGCAGCACTCAAGATTTACCTGATGCAGGTATCTTAGATGATGCAACCTTTTCATTTTGGTCTCTCAATATCTTGCCCTAATCCCTTCACAGTAATCCAGTATTCTGCTGCTATAATCATTCATCCAATCCTGATTACATGATACTGAATCTTTAAATCCCTATACTAGGCTTCCTATATGTTCTACTTCAGTTCCAAGTTACTTGCTCAACTTCTATATGATATTCACATTTTCAAACCTAGAAAACTTTGAGATTTTCATAACTATTTGGGGATCTCCCATGATTTGGTTTACACAGCTCCTAAGATTAACAACAAATCTGGATTCTGTAGAACCAAAGTTTAGTCTTCAAATTTATGCTTTGATTTTGCTTTGTGTTTCTTGTTTATTCATTTGCTTACACGTCATTAATTCATATTGGTTGATATGTAATGCACAAACTGAATGCAAATAAATTAAAAGAACAATGTTGCTTTCCACCCCCCATGTAAATCTAATAAGATCAGATTTTGTAATAATATGAACAAATGCATTTCAATGCACAAAACGCCATTCATCTTCAATGTTTGAGATCACTTTGCTTTTGTTAATTAATAAGCCAAAACGTGCAATATTTCAAACAACAGAGGGTTGTTTATACTCACTATCAAAATACAAAACTATCCACTTTATCAGCTCATTGGAGTGGAAGTTACTTTGCTACAAATAGCTTATCACTAACTATGAGTAAATTTTGTCTAGAAGCAAGGCTGCATCTAAGTTAGTGTAATTTTAATTCTCTGTTAATTAGATGTTTAAGTTTGTGAATATCCATTAATTTAATTGATTGGTAAATCTATTGAGAAGCTTTTTGGGACTAGAGCCATAAACTGAACTGACTATAAATTCCCACCATAAATTCTATGCTACAAAGAGTCATGCATATTCACGGCAGTGTATAAGTATATACCTCTACAGAATGGACATTTTTAATCTATAAATTTAACCTCTAAGAGATGGCTTTCCCAGAGATGACAGGTTCAGGTAGCACAACCTCTGAGTTATATATCTCATGAGGCCATAATGCAATGTTAACTTAGCATTTCATGTGATCTAGCCATTCTGGCTACAATATAAGGCTTGGTACTATATTTGAATTCAGGAAACTATAGCCTATTCAAAAACCAATCCTTAAGCAAACCATAACTTAGCCTAAAACGTGAATCCTGTTATTGTGCTTTAGGATAGTAAGTCACATACTAGATCTTCTAGGACTTGCAGAGCAACTCTTAAGTGGTATAGACAGGTCACTTGGTGGCAATTTCTTCGAGAGTGCTCTGGAAACTCTCTGGATCTATTTGATGCTTGAGATACGCTCTCTAAACTCTAACAGCCCTGGTGGTGCAGTGGTTAGAATGCAATATTGTGGGCAAACTCTGCCCACAGTCATGAGGATCCAGATTGTTGGGGGCAATATGCAAATGCATTGTAAACTGCCCAAAGAGTGCTATAAAGCACTATGGTGACATTTAAGTAAGTTCTATTGTAAGGTACTATTGCAATACAGGTCCCATCCTGTGAGATCCTGGGCAGCAATTAATCTTAGCTGGACTGGGAAGTGTTCTGATCAAAGTACCGTATTTTTTGGAGTATAAGACACACCAGAGTATAAGACGCATCAAGTTTTTAAAGAGGTAATTGTTTTTTAATGTGAAAAACAGGGCATGCAGAGAGTTTGAGAGGCCTGCAAAGTGTTCCTGGGGGCTGGGGAAGTACAAAAACAAGCAGAAAATGGCCCATTTTTTTGTGAAAAAGAGCCTGTTTTTTCCCCAAAAAAGTGGCATGCATAGCCTTTAGGAGGCTTGTAGAGTGCTTCTGAGGGCTGGGGGGGCGACAAAAATAAGCAAAACAACAGGCCATTTTTCACTTGTTTTTGCGCTCTCCAGCCCCCAGAAGCACTTTGCAGGCCTCCCAAACCCTCTGTACGTCCTTTTTTGTGAAGGGGATGGGGTTTCAGGAGGTCAAAAAAGCTGTATTCAGGGTATAACACACACCCAGATTCTCACACTCTTTTGGGGGGGGGGGAAGGTGTGTCTTATACTCCGAAAAATACAGTAAATGGGTAGAAGTAATGTCCTCCATATTCAGATAAAGAGAGATCTAGCATATGACCACTTGGATGTGCTGGATCAGAAATCACTTGGAACAAGCCACCTTTATGATGGAGACACTGAATTCTATGGCTTTCCCAGATTTACACACTTATTCAATATTGAAAACTATGGTTACTCAAGCCTGGAATCCAGATTAAGGAGGCCAGAGAATGAGCCAACCAGAAAGATATCCAGCATGCCTATTAAAATGGAGGTATTCAGTTCATGTCATATCCTTCATTGATGATCTCAATGGCCTCTTCCAAATCTGATTCTAAACAGATATAAATGTAAGATTAAATTATATATTTAATTACATTCTTTCAAGATCTAATTAAATATATAATTTTGAAAATTAGGGGCTGCCAAACTATTGTCTGCATGGAAATGGACCATTGGAAGAGCAGTGATGTTGCCATACAGCAAAGGCTGGACAGGAGGCACAGTTGCACCAGTGTTTTCTGTGTACTAAAAATACATTAAGTTTCCCCTCTCTGCAAGTTTGATTGCCTCGTGTTCTAGATTCAAATCAGACTTTCAACTTACCTTATAACAATATTCCCCAAAAAAGTATCTAACTAGTCCCCAAGTGAGTGAAAATAACCATCTGCTTATATGAGAAATATAAGGGACTAATTCTGAGTGAAGACCAGTTCTGTCTGTTTGTCTGTCTGTCTGATTGATTGGTTTATCTTTTTAATTTATAACATTTATGTAACTACCCATCTTCTAGCCAATTCTGGGCAGCTTCCAATCAAAAGATTTGGAGCTCTAGGGCAGAGTTCCAGCCACTGGGAATCAAGCAGATTTCACTTGCACAGTTCTGTCTTGCTTTAGTGTGTTGATAAAAAGTTGTTTTAAAAAACTATTTGCGGGGGGGGAGTATATATATGGTAGTCATGTTTTAAGGGTTATTAAACTGAAGAAAATGCTATCTTCTGGGATTAGATAGCTATTTCTGTTTGAATTCTGTAAGTTGGCAATATCTTTACCTGCCTTGGGAGGGTTAATGTCTTGTTGTCATTAATGTTGTCAGTGTTCTTGCTGCTGCCAGCCTCCTCCCACCTCCCAACTCCCAGCATTACTATGTAGATCCAGCCGGCAGGCACTCCCATGTGCTTCTCCAGGCTCCTGACCTGATACACTGCCAAAAACAAGGAATTCACAGCTCAACTAACATCTAAAAAAGGAAAGGCAGACAACAAATCCAGAACACCCTTCCTGCTTCATAGAGGAGGGGGAAGGCGGGATGGGGAGAGAGGGGGAGAGCCAGCCAGCAATTGCCTGCCCCTCTGCTCCTCTCCAGCCCTGGCATCAAGAACTGTGTAGATGGAATTAGGATGAACATGTGATAATGGTGCACAGTTGAGCAAATTAACTTTCCATTATCTCAGCTGCAGCCTCCTTCTCATCACAGGGGACAGACCTATTGTTAAGGACCAAGCCAGACCAGCCACATGACAAGGCCCCTTGTTTTCTTAACCTGAGGGATCACATGATTTCTCCTAGACCTAGCAGGATGTATCTAGCCTAGATCTGACAATGGGTCTGCTGTACCTGGACAGCCAACAGACCAGACCAAGAATTGCATAGTAAACTTTATTTTCTTAGCACTAAAAACAGATAAAACTCTTAAAACAGAGAGGCCCTGAAGAAGCCAAAGTACACAGTATTTATACAGATTTCCACCAATCTGCTTTGAACCCCAGTTGCCCCTCTCTATCTCCTCCTCTATCCTGCCATGTCTGCCCATTATCTATTAGCAGTTTTTCAATCATCGCCACCTTCTTATCAGCAATTGGACTTCCTCTTTAACTGAATATCAAGCATAGTTACAGTATGACAGCTGTCTTATTCTTTACATTCTATTCATCACTTACACTCCTTTGGCTTTAGAAAGTTCTCTCCCTTAGAGCCATCCATTCTGGTTCTAACTGGCTTGAACCAAATTGGTTGAGTGAAAATAGGGACAAAGCTGGAACGATAAGTATATAGAGAGCAACAGAACTTCAGAAAAGACGCAAAAGTAAATAAGTACAGTGACAATAACTCAATTGGCAAACCAGCTTAGAGATGAAAGTCAGGTTATTCAAGATTTATCTCAATCCAAATGTCACGGGAATGCGTTGAGTTTTCTAACTGATAACAGAATCTAACAATGGGTTTGGGGTGGGTGGGTTTGATCTTAGTTCTACCTCTTATGATGTGTTAACCTAAGGCCCCACAATGCTCTATGGCTGTGATGGTGAATCTATGGCAGGCATGCCACAGGTGGCACACGGAGCCATATCAGTGGGCATGTGAGGTCAGCTCGGATTTTCAGCC